TTAAACTAAACACATAATTGCAGCAACTAGTTTAGTGGATGCTTTAGTACTAAGAGTTACGGAACAGTTGTGGGTTGCAGCCGCCCGCTCAGAAGGCTGTGTTATCCTGTTCGGCATTGGGCATCGCCATGCCCTCCCTTTGACCGCCGCCCCCGCCGCCTGGCTTCCCAGTGGCTGAGTCGAGCATCTTTTTCACCTGCGTCTGCGCCGTCTGTTGATTCAGACGCTTCGCCTCGGCCACAGGCAAATCATCGTCAGACTCTAGAGCGGGATTGATGCGTCCATTGCGCTCGTCTTTGCCGGCCATGGTGGCCGCGCCATAGGATCGCGCCAATGGACCCGCCATGACAGAGAGTTGCTCCCCAGCCTCGGACGGATCGCCCACGCGCTGCACATCCTCCGGAATGTTGACCACGCACCGGAAGTAATCATAGCTCGGTGGCAGCTTGCCCGACTCAAACATCATTCTAGCAGGAGAGGAAAATTTTAGAGAATTGTGATTGGAGCTGAGCGGGGACTTACTTGGTCCACCAGGAGACAAAGACGAGCGTAATCAGGCTGATCAGCATGGCCATGGTGCGGAAGGGAAACAGCTGCGTGTTGGTCTCCTCATCGTAGCCCGGATAGTGTATGAGAGCGGGCAGCCCCAAGATGGCCTCTCCGCCGGACAGCCGGATGAAGAGCGCAATTATGTAGGCCGCCAGGCTGCCATAGGTGTTGCAGTGCTTCTTGAAGTGCACCACCATCAGCAGCTGCGGGAAGAGGATAACGTAGACCAGGTCCGAGCACATGGACCTGTAGGCCAGAGAGGAGACAGCACTTAACTAAATGAGCCATTAATCAAAGTCAACGAACTTACCAGAGGCCGTAGATGGAGGGTATGGTGAGGGCCATGATGGTGGCCAGAATGCCCACGATTATGATGGAGACGCGCATTACCCAAATGATTTCCATTTCGGATGCCTTCTGACGGAAAATCAATTTGTAGACGTTGCGTGCGAACATCGAGGCAGCCGACAGGACGGACGAATCGGCTGAGGACATCACAGCCGCCGAGACAGCGCCCAAGCCAAAGAACGAAACAAAGTCGGGCGTCAAGTATTGCAGGACCATGGGCAATATCATGCTGGTCTGGTCTACAGTCAGTGGATAGGGACCCTTGTAGTCCGTCTCGTTCCAGGCTACACAAGCAAAAATTGGATTAGACTGGAAGGGCACTAAGCTCTAGTCGGACTCACGAGTTGCCTTGGCAATGGCGCCAATTAGCACGGGCGGAATGGCCATCAGGATGCAGCCGGCAGCTGCCACATAGGAGAGCAGCTGGGCTCGACCCGCCGTCTTGCTGGAGAGCACACGTTGGAAGTACACCTGCCAGGGAATGCCGCCAAAGATGAGCAGCAGTCCATAGTCTATGTAGAACCAGCGTTGCTTCGGCTCCACATGCCCAATCCAGTCCACGTCCATGTCACTCAGACTGCGCACGTGGTCGTTGGTCCACGCGAATGGAATGCACATCCAGAGGCCAATGAAGATGCAGAACAGCTGTATGACGTCTGTGTAGGCCACCGAGTAGAGCCCGCCAAAGAGCGTGTAGAATATGGCGATGCCCGACGATAAGATCACCGACGTCCGATGATCCATGTCTATGATGACGGACAGTGTGGCGCCCAGTGCAGCCAGAATGCCAGCTGCCCAGAATACCTCACCACACAGAGCGGGCAAAAACAACAGGCCGCCCATTCGCTCACCAAACGAATCCTGCAACGGATCCAACATGGTTATATAACCCTGCTTTCGCATGGGATTAGCGAAGAAGATGCCACCTAAAGGAAAGAATATAAAGAGAAATGTGTACTTTCAAAGAAACAATATTACAAAATAGATGTATCTAACACTTAAAAGTCTTGAGTCTAAAGATTAAAGTTTCTTTACTATAATCATGTCCATATTATAGGAAACTTACCAAACACCAGGCTGAGTGCATAGCCAAAAGGCGCTTGGCACCAAACCAAGCCAGAGGTATAGATCGCTTCCGCAGTGCCATTGATGTAGCCGCCACCCACCCAAGTGGCTATGGAGAGAGAGAAATATCAGGATATAGAGACATATAGATGGCATAGTTAGAGATTAAAGATCACCTGTCATAGTGAAAATGCCCACGAAGAGACCAATGGAACGGCCAGCGAGCATCACCTCCTCCTCGGAATCATTTCCCGACTGTTTCTTGCGACCGGCCCAAATGCCCACGACCAGAATGAGCAGATAGAAGAGCACAATGCTCACCACGCCGGCTATGTTAATCATACTGTTGCGTTAAGGTGTTTTGTCCTTGAGCTTAGAAGTAGAGTAGCCTCTCCTCCTCTTTGTCACTTAATACTTTGCGTTGGGTTTGACCTTACAGCTAATGAAGGGGCGAGAATTGAGAATGGCGCTTAATAATATATTATATTGGATTAATAAATAATGCTACTGAAATTGCAAAGTATGATAAATATGTATGTAAATACCACTCTTTATGTGAGTGAGAACAGGGCGAGTAGCATCTGTGTGAGTGAACAGGACAAAGACTGTGAACAGCGAATAAGCTCCTCTTGCATAAAGAGTAAAGGCGGCTCTGAAGAATGTAGGCAGCCATGCCAAAAAGCAATGGCTGACCAAATATGATTGAAGCTGTGTGCATGCCAATGCATATCTGTGTGTGTGAGCGAGACAAACATAATGTGCGGTGATCAAACTCTTCTGGCTCGCTCTTGAGTATTGTCGACAGCTGACAATGAAGAAAGCTGAGCATAAAAGGAATCACTGAGCATGTACATATGTGTGAATGTATATGTACGCAAGTATATTAATATGCATGTACTACGTATATCAAATGGCATTGGCGCAGGTATACATGTATAAAGCGACCTTCTAGTCGTTTTACGTCTTTGCTAAGCGCAGATAAGAATTCAATATTAATTTTTTGTTGTAAATTAATTTGCTGTGCAACACGCAGCATTATATATGAAACCGCTGCACAGGGCACCCCTTGACAAGGTCAGGGACATCCTCCCGCGCCTGACCTTTGCGCAAGGATAAACCTCGGCACCTTCGCACTATCCAGGCACTCTGTTATGGCCTTTGATTCAGCGCCCGCTGTCCTTGTTAATGGCGTCCAATTAACTAACGCAATGGCGCAGTACGCCCAACATTAAAGGACCTCGCTGCAAGGCAACGACATTTAGCTAGTCATGCATTAATGGTGCTAAATGGCAGGTGCCAATTAGTTGCAATTGGTCAATTGGGTAAACATTTATATCTGTAAGTGAGTTTAGATCTAAGAGAGTCAGGCACTTGAGTACGTAGAGTAGCTAATGCTCTACATATTTACCGATTTCAATAATGGCAATAAAATTATGGGGCAGGTGAGCAATATAAAAGTGTAAATGAAATAATATTATGTCAGCTGCGACCTATAATCAACCATTGATCAATATACAAATACATACATATAGTTATATACTTGGGATGCTTTCCTATTGTCTCTCACATGTGCTTTTATATAAACAATCTACCCCACTTTGTTCGATTTTGATAAACAGTTAAGCAAAGCTTCATTCACAAAACCAACGGTAATTAAGCAATAACAACAACAACAACATGGCTGGCACTTCCAAATGGAAGGCACGCGCTGAGTGTAATAGAGTGAGAGAGTGAGAGAGACAGCAAATGAGAGCAGGTCGCAATCACTGCGCATGTTCCAGTGCATTTATATTTGCGGGCAATTGAACTCACCTTAGCTATGGTAAAACCTTTCAGTGTACGTTCGTGTGTGTGTGTGAGTGAGTGTGTGTGTGAGTGAATGTGTGTGCCAAGTTCAAAGCAGAGGCGTTAAGTTATGTGTATGGCGATTGAGTGCCCCGCGCGTCTTTGGCTGATTTTAACGACGGCAAATGCGCGCGCCAATCAAATGCGCCTTGACTTATGCAACATTTCCTAAACAAAAGTCCTATTAGGCTTTTTCGCTACTTTTTGTACAGATCACAGGCGGAACGAACGACAGCGCGTAACGGTAAAAAATAGTTGATCAATAAATAGGAAACACGAAAGAGTCTTGACAGCTTGCACCTGGGCAGCAGTCGCCCCAACGCAGGGACGTCTTCTGAGACGGACTGTTACGCGTCTTAAAATGTAACCCAGACATGTGCTCCGGCTCTGTGGAAAGCACGTGGCGCAGGCATTAAAACAAGTTTTCTATTTCTATTGCACAACAAACACAAGTATTTAATTGTTTACAGTTAACGGTAAACTAGTGGATTTTATTTATACATTTAAATTAAGAACAAATTAACGCTTTTTTTTTGTTCTATGAAACACAACAAAAACGTCTTGTCGTACGCTGAAACGTTCCGCCGTACCGTGTTCCGACGAAAAGAGTAGCAAAATTATAACTGAATTGGAAGTTCAAGTGCTGGAGCCTTAACAGCGGCAATCAAGCTCAAATATTCGCGTTCATTCTCTATATGTGCGCAGGAATTTGTAAATGCGTTCATTCGCTCATTTCCCCGCCGTTCGAGCATTCCACTGGAAGGGCGACAGGAGCATCCATTGCTGGAAAGCACACTGATACCGAGCTTCCACTGCGGCTTATCAATAGGGGAAATGGCAATTGGAATGCTAGGCATGTGTTGAAAAGCTCAGCAGGCGCAGCAGGGGAAATTCCAATCGGCACAGGAAAAGGATTAATCTCGATAACTATATTAAGGATAATATCAGATGTATGTCAAAAAAAAAATAAAAATAAATAAAAAAAAAAAACAACTTATAAATAAAAACTATAATAAAAATAATTATAAAACAATCTAAGGTTCCACCCAAATATCATTTGCTTGAACACATTAAATTATGTAAAACCTCTTTAATTATTTAAATAATATAAAATAGTTAATGTACAATTTCTAGCGTAACGAAATATCAAGCAAAATATTTTTAACATTTTTTTGTTTTTGTTTTTTATTTAGTTATTATATGCTTAATAGCCAAATTTGTCATTGAGATGAGTGAAACCGTCGCCGCTTTGATTCGGTGGTGGAATCCACTTGGCATACTTTTCGCTGTCTTCGTGCTCCGCCAGCTCATTTAGATCCATGTCCACGTCCGATCGCAGCTTGTTGTTGCTGTGGTTGGTTCGCTGCCGTTGACGCTGGCGTCGTTTCCTCTCTCCCTCCGCAGCTTCGCTGCCTGCGTCTATAGGTGCTGATGCTACTTCAGCTGCAGCTTCTGTTATGGCTGTTGCTTCGTCACATTCGTTGTTAACTTCTAGTTTATTTGCATTTGGCATCTGCTTCAAGTGTTGGGTCTGCTGCTCAAGCTCCTTCTCTTCCGGCTGCAACTCTTGCTTCTCCTCCGTTTCCAATTGCAGTGGCTGCTTCTGTCTATTCTGCTTTTCTTTCTCCTTCTCCTCCTCTGTTCTTTCTTCCTGCGTCTCCTTCACATTCTCTTGATGGTTTTGCTGTTCTACTTGCTTCTCCGTCTCTTCTTCCTCCTCTTCCTCCTCCTCCACCTCCTCGTCACCAGCAAATGCATTTACTTTCGCTTTGCTGCTAGCACTTGGCTGCGCTTTGACTATCTTAAATTTACTAAACTGATTTCTTTTCCCAATCATGGGCAATTGCCTTTTGGACACATTGGCTTCCACCTTCTGCGCATTGTTAGAGGTCGTGTCAAATGGCAAAGCCGTTGGCTTGGCAATCTTAATGAGCCGCTGTAACTTTTGTTGCTCGCTTTTGATTCGCTGCTGCTCCAGCTGGAATTGAATAATTTACATTAATATTTGTATCTTTTAAACTCTGTCCCAACTCACTCTCAGCTTTTTGATCTCGGTTTTGTCCAGTGGCGTGACATTCTCGTTGAGTGTGTCCATGAAATTGTCCAGGTCATCGCTGGCGCTTTGCTGCTGCACCGCCTGCGCCTTCAAACGCTTCTCGTTCTGCTGATAGGCACCAATCTCTAGCTCCACTTTGGCCAACTCTGCATCCAGCTCGCTCTGCTGCTTCAGCTGCAACGGTTAAAGATCGAAAGTTAATTTAAATACTCTTAAACTGCTATAAATTTGTCCCTTTACCAAATCGTCGTAGGTGAGTGTAACACTGACGTTGGCATTAGCCAGCCGTTGCTTCTTTCTGGCCACATCGCCTGTGCGATCCCAGAACTCGTCCTCGTCATCCGAATCGCCTTTGGGCTTGAGCTGCTTGCGCTTCTGGGATTCCTGATTCGCCTGGCGCAGCACGCCATGACGATCGAGCGTACGACATGCCTCTAGGGCGCACTGCACCACACAGTCCTTCTTGCGGCCCTTGTGCGTGACTTCCACAACTATGGCACGGCCATTGGAGTCGTCAATGGGCAGCTCCACCCGGCAGACGAACGAGCCCTGGGCAAGCTCGTCGCACTTGTATTCCAGATTGAGGCCTTCACGTTCAAAGAAGCCGCGCAATGTGCGCTTGGGGTCATCGAAGAAGAGGTCTTCATTGTTGGTGCTCGCATATGGATTGTGTGTGAGATCTGTTTCCTCGTCGGCATCCTCGCCCATGCCCCAGCTGGCGCCTTCGTTACGTTCCCTCTCCTCAGCCTCCAATGCTTTGCGTTCCCTTTCAGCCATTGCTGCGGCCACTTGTTGCTCACGCTGTTCACGTAGTTCCGTTACGGTTTGTTCAGACTCGGGTTCCTCATCCTCACCGGGACCCTGCAGTATATACACGCGCGTGCTGCTTCCCATCTTCAGCATGTGGCCAACGCGAATGCGTATGTAGACGCGGGGCGGCACGCGCTGCTTATTGAGGAATGTGCCATGTGTGCTTCCGAGATCGTAGATGTACCAGCCGTCAGGCTGAGCTGCCTCTTCGTCCTCACCATCACCTGCCTTTGGTTTGTACTGAAGCACTGCGTGATACCGCGAAATGGTTGGATGCGCCATGGCTACATCGTTGTCAGGAAGTCGGCCAAAGGTCCAGTAGGCTTGTTGCTGTAACTGCTTGACTTCGTCAATAATTTGTCCGGATTTCAGCACCTCAAACCTGTAATCCTGTCCATCGTTTGGCGGCTGTGACCACTTGGGCACTTTGTAGGGGCAACCTGTGGCAGGCTTGACTTTAGCAGCTTCTGGATTTGGTTCTTCGACGGCAGCTTCACTTTTTGTTGATGGGGCGGGCGGTAAAACCGGCACCTTGAAATCATCCATATTGAATGGATAGCGCAACTGTCTCTATTTGTATATTGTCTATATTCTGGCTTTTAAACACTCTTGTGTATGTTAGGGATGTGTAAAGCCATCGGTATTTTAAGTTAGCGATGTGCACCGATCCTCAAATATGTCAGAAGATGTACCTATTTTTAGATTTTAATTTTTATTCATTTAGTTTTTACCAATCGATAAATAGTGAAAATATCGCAGCATCGATACAAATACCGCGTATAATGTGCTAAAAATATCCAGTCAAAAATAAAGTTGGCAGTCCGCGCTTGAAGTTCGCGGCAATTTTTTTGTTTTTGTTTGTTTTAATTTTTGTTTGTTTTTTTATTTTAATTTAAATTGTATCATAATAGAATTTTTAATAATTATGGCATTTTCACAATCATTCGAGTTTGGCGACAGTACATTCATGAAACTGGAGAATGAATTAAAAGCACCCAGCAGCGAAAAGAGCGTACACAATATCAAGCAGGAACCAAATGCTTTAGAAGTCATACAAGAATCACCGCCAAAGTTAAAATTGAAATCTCAGCGCATTTACACGCAATCAAAGGCGAATAGATCGAATGTATCCCAGCGCCAGCAATTTCGACGCAGTAAATCCGACTCCAAACTGGGAAAAACAACAGCAGCAACGAATGGCAGCTGTGAAAGATATTCACAGTTTTTTATGGACAACTTTTCGTATGATAAGAGCCATGAGAAGACGAATAGAGTGGAGGCACTAAACGATGAATCGTTAATGCGTGTCTCCCAAATCCAGGCCGACTTGGACTCAGAGAAATTATCGCTTGAAGGCAGCTGTGAAAATTTAAATACCACCTCTATCTTTGAGGCACAAATTTGCACGGAAGATGTTTTTGGCGCGGAGACGGAGCCGGAGCCGGAGCCGGAAGCGGAGCATGCGGAGAGCAGAGGCGTCTCACCCATTGAATTGGCAAATTTGGATGAGAGTAGCTTTCTGGCACCAGCCAAGGATCCGCACGCGGTACAACAACTGCAACAGGATCTCATACGCAGCCGCTGTGAGCTGGCCAAGCAGAATCTAGGTTACACGCAAAGATTGACCCAAAACCTGAGCAGCATGTCACCCAACCAACTGCACCTTTCACCCAGTTGTCCCGCCGCGAGTGAATCACCCCGACCTCAGCCACTTGTGGATCTCAAGGCGCTCAAGCAAATCTCCGCATGGAACTTGCCGCACAGTGTGCTAGCGGAGTACAAGAAGAAGGGCGTCGTTGAAATGTTTGACTGGCAGGTGGAATGCCTTAGCAAGCCGAAGGTGCTCTTCGAGCACTGCAATCTAGTCTATTCCGCACCCACGTCCGCCGGCAAGACGCTGGTCAGCGAGATTCTACTGCTGAAGACGGTGCTGGAGCGCGGCAAGAAGGTGCTACTGATCCTGCCCTTCATTTCGGTAGTGCGCGAGAAGATGTTCTACTTGCAGGATCTGCTAACGCCGGCTGGCTATCGCGTGGAGGGCTTCTTTGGCGGCTACAGTCCGCCCGGTGGCTTTGACAGCATTAACGTGGCCATCTGCACCATCGAAAAGGCCAACTCGATTGTCAACAAGCTGCTGGAGCAGCGCAAACTCGAGGATCTAGGCACCGTGGTTGTGGACGAGGTGCATCTCATCTCGGATGCGGGCCGTGGCTACATCCTGGAGCTGCTGCTCGCCAAGATTTTGTACATGTGCCGCAAGCAGGCGCTGCACATCCAGGTGATCACCATGTCCGCCACCTTGGCCAACGTGCAGCTGCTGCAGCAGTGGCTGAATGCCGAGCTCTACATCACAGACTTTCGCCCAGTGGCGCTGAAGGAGATGATCAAGGTGGGCAGCAAGATCTTTGACAATCAATTGCAGCTCCTGAGGGACCTAAATCGCAACGCAGATGTGCCAGCACTGCCTAACGATGGGGATCACGTGGCACAGCTGTGTATTGAAACGCTGCTGGAAGGCTGCTCCGTTGTGGTGTTCTGCCCGTCCAAGGATTGGTGCGAGAACCTGGCTGTCCAGCTGGCCACAGCCATGCACACGCTCATCAAATCCGAGAGCGATGTGGGAAAACGACTCCGAGCCCAACTCAACCAGCAGGCCATAGACGAAGTCAAGCAGCAGCTGCGCGACATACCCACTGGTAGATCACCCTATATATACATGTATAGTACTATGTAAACTCAACATCATCATTCACAGGCCTCGACTCGGTCATGTCGAAGGCTATAAGCTATGCGTGCGCCTTCCATCATGCCGGACTCACCACGGAGGAGCGCGACATCGTGGAGGCCAGCTTCAAGGCGGGCGCTCTGAAGATTATTGTGGCCACGAGCACCTTGAGCTCCGGTGTGAACTTGCCTGCTCGGCGCGTGCTCATCCGCTCCCCCCTGTTCGGAGGCAAGCAGATGAGCTCGCTGACCTACAGACAGATGATTGGACGCGCTGGCCGCACTGGCAAGGATACCCTAGGCGAATCCATACTCATATGCACCGACAGCAACGCGCGCATCGGCCGGGAGCTGGTCACAGCACAGCTGAAGCCCATTAGCTCCTGCTTGGATCTAGATGACAGTGTGAGTAGCGAAACACTCAACGTGAGTCGGAAATCTGAAATATTTCTTATTTTGCAGACGCATCTGAAGCGCGCGCTCTTGGAGGTGATTTCGTCTGGCGTGGCCAGCACCAAGCAGGACATCGACAGCTTCTTCAATTGCACATTGCTCAGTGCTCAGAGAAAGATTGCTGCAGCAGTCCAAGAGGAGCAGCAGGAGCAGGAGGAAGATGAGACGCATTTCATATGCGACGCTTTAGATTTTCTGCTCGAATACGAGTTCATACGGATGCAAACGGATGAGGAGACGGATATTCAGAACTATGTGGCCACGCGACTGGGCGCTGCCTGTCTAGCTTCGTCGATGCCACCGACGGACGGGCTCCTGCTCTTTGCCGAGCTGCAGAAGTCGCGACGGTGCTTTGTCCTGGAATCAGAGCTGCACGCGGTCTACCTGGTGACGCCCTATTCCGTGTGCTATCAGCTGCAGGATGTGGACTGGTTGCTCTACCTGGACATGTGGGAGAAGCTAAGCCCTGCCATGAAGAAAGTGGGTGAGCTGGTCGGCGTCAAGGAGGCATTCCTCGTGCGCGCCATGCGCGGCCAGGCCAAGCTGGACTACAAGCTAATGCAGATCCATAAACGGTAGGCGAAGCATAGCCCCGAAGAGAATCAGTCACTCAATTGTTCCCTTGCAGCTTCTATACGGCTCTGGCCTTGCAGGAGCTGGTCAATGAGACGCCCATCAACGTGGTGGCCCACAAGTTCAAGTGCCAGCGCGGCATGCTGCAGAGTCTGCAGCAGATGGCCTCGACCTTTGCCGGCATTGTGAGCGCCTTCTGCAACTCTCTGCAGTGGTCGACTCTGGCACTGGTCGTCTCCCAGTTCAAGGATCGGCTCTACTTTGGCATACATCGCGACTTGATTGACCTGATGCGTCTGCCCGATCTGAGCCACAAGCGCGCACGCGCTCTGCACGATGCGGGCATCACTAGCTTGGTGGAGCTAGCTTCTGCAAATGTGCTTGCTCTGGAGCAGGTGCTATTCGATTCGCTGAGCTTCGATTCAGCTAAACGGCACGAGAACGAGGACGAGTTGCAGGCTGCGCAGCGCAATACGGCCAGAAACTTTTACATCACGGGCAAAGCTGGGATGACTGTGGCCGAGGCGGCCAAGCTGCTCATTGAGCAGGCGCGGCAATTTGTGCAGCACGAAATCGGAGTGGGCAGCATCCAGTGGACGCAGTCAGCCAATGCAGTCGAGCAGCTGCACATGTCCCTAGAGGAGGCGCCACCAATGCCCGTTGAGCCGAGTTCGCAACGAAAGCGCAAGACGCCAGACAGCGCTGAAAGGCCGAGCAAGTTAGCTAAGCTGGATGAGCAAGTGCCTCAGTCCATAAAGCAGACAACCAAGCAAGACGAGCAGAAGTCTGCAAGGAATGTGGAGTCTGTAGTTAGAGAAACGGGTCCAGCACTTATGGGTGGCAAGGCAAGCAATATAAAGAATGTGGCGGGCGCAGCAAAGGATGGAAGGAAAGTAGAAACTGTAGGCCAAGAGTTGACTCCAACTGTAGCTGGAAAGGCAAACAATGTAAAAGTGGAAACCAAAGTAGAAAAGCAGAGTTCAGCAGTTGCTTCAGATGTAAAGCCCAGCTCAGCAGCTGTAGCCACGCCACCAATGCCTTTGCTAGAGCACAATCATCGTAGCTCAATCAATATCAAAGGGGATGAGAGGCCTAGCACAAGCGCCGCCAGTCGCAAGGAGCTGCTGCAAAAGGAGATTGAAGAGCGGCGCCGCGTGGCCATGATGAAGATAAACAAGAAACGCGCTGAGATGGAAAACATGAGCAATGGCTTGGCTGGTGATGCGCCACCAAGGCGAGCCGCTGGCCAAACGCCGCCGGCAACCAGACAGAAGGAAAGTGGAAAGGAAAATCTGCCCAATAAGGACTTCAAGACGCCGACAAGACTGATGGAAACCAAGTGCAATAGTGACAAAGAGACGATGCCTAAACAGCTGCCACGACGTAGTCCGCGTAATCACCAAGGCACGCAGGCAAGTAAGCAACCTGCAGTAGTGGAGCTGGAAAAGAATCAGGAGCAGGAACTCTTCGCTAGCGACGACTCCTTCATGCTCAACACGGGCCTGACGGCTGCGCTGACAGCTGCCGAAAGCAAAGCCCAAGCGGATGCCGAGGAGATACCCAGCTCGCAGCCGAAGGCAGGTACTCCAGGCAGCTGCCGAACCCTAATCTCTAGTCAGTTGCTGCGCTCGCAACGCAGAAGAACTCCCAAGCCGGACACAGCCCGAGACGCTCAGCTAAGAGAGCAATCGACAGTGAGTGTCGCCTCTTCGTCTTCCAGAGAAGCTCAGTTGAAAGAGCAAAGGAAAGCGAATTCCATCAGAGAAGCTAACATTGTACAGGAATCAAATTCTGCCTCTTCCAGCGAACACCAATCCACATCGACTGCCGCCTCCTCCTCCATAGAGGTGTCTAATCTCTCCCTGGAAA